GTAACAGCACACGAAATGATAGTTTTATAATACATGAAGCGCTTGTGCCGTGGATACAAGATATCTGGGTTGGAGAAGCCAATGTCTTCCCCGACCACAGCCCCCTCTTCATCAGATTTCGGGTTCCTGGGACACAACGCATGTTGCGAAACTGGTTCATGCCACAAAGTTGGGGTGACATCCCGTTGAAGCCAGAGGTTTTTGCTAGGCACTATACCCGGACTTCACGGCAATTTCTACTCGACGACGATCTATCTACAGAAGCCAGAATCAATGCCGCATTCGAAAGTTGGTCCAAGGGGATTGAACGGGCAGTACAGGGCACACTCAGAGAACAGCACATCCAAGACCCCCTACGTTACCCTCGACCTAACCTTGGCAAGAAATATTTTGGCAGAGGCACACCCACCAAATATGTCACCCATGTTGCACCACGAACAGTTAAGATTGACACGACTCACGCATACGAACCACCGACTGAGATCACTTCTTGCAAAGCACGCCAGAAAGTGCGACAGGTTAGAAGAATAGCTTCATTGTTACAACACTTGAAGAAGCTTAGACCACAGTGCGAAAATCCAGTCCTCAAACAACAGTTACAACAGGAATGGAATGTCATCCAAAAGGCACAGGGCTTTGGTAGATCTTGGGCCGCATGGATTTTGAGCTTCGAGTTTGTTACCCACATACCAGTTGACACACCGTCAACAGATTGGCTGCAGGAAGTATTACAGCTTACAAAGTTTGAATCAGACGCATACGCACGCCAAGAGTCCCATTTAAGAAGACATCACAAACGCCACTCCATTGCCTATGCTTTGTCCCACACGAACAACGCTCAAGCCTATAGATATATTAAAAATAAAGACCAGAAATTCTTGCACGACATCCCTGTCGCTCATCAAACAGAAGCTACCTTGTGCCGCAGTTCCAAAGGTCAGACAGTCCTACATCTCCAGAAAAGACTCCCAGTCCAGATAGGCAGTCGAGTCCATTTCGGTGAATGCACAGCAGAAGTCCGTTCTATCCAGAATACCCGAATTGCATTACGCAAACTGCAGGGCCACGTCCCTGCAAAAGCCTTGTTGTCCTACAATACACATGCATACACCATAGAACCAATGTCCGAAGCTTTTCATCGCTACTGGGCACAATTTTGGCTGCGCGACTCTATGCATGACCAGGAATCAGATGAACCATGGGCAGATTTATTTAGGCGACTTGAGGACATCATCCCACCCCAAACCCCACTCCAGATCAAGTACGACTGCCCACACGTGTTATGGGACACAATTCACAAACTAAAACCCTACAAGGCAATAGGAGAAGATGGATGGCATGCGGAAGAACTGCAAGCACTTACATGGGATATGGTTGTTGATTTGTCTAAAATCCTCTCCAAAACCTGGTCATATGGACATACTGCACAGCACATGCAAGCCAGGACATTGTTATTCGCCAAAAAACCTCAACCGGAATCTATTTCCGACGGGAGACCCATTACCATCTTAGGCTACTTAGCCCGTCTAACGTCCAAGCTTATTGCTGATCAAGTTTTAAAACAATGGACAAGTACCTGGCCTTCCGAGATTAGCGGAGGACTTCCCCATCGTTCGGCCAGGGATTTAAGTTTAATCCAGATGCTAAAAATTGAAGAAGCTCGTACACACCGAACTGCGTGGTGCGGTTGGACCATGGACCTGGTCAAAGCATTTAATCTCATCCCAAGACGAGTGGTCCGATACATCCTTCGTCTACTGGGCATCCCAGTCTTCGTAAGTGACTTCTGGTTTAAATCATTACGTCGACTGACCAGAGTCCTGCAGTGCGGACGTGCTATTGGACCGGCTGCCATTTCGACAACCGGTCTCCCAGAAGGAGATTCAATGTCGGTGGTTGGAATGCTAGCACTTAGCTTCGTTTTCCATCATGCAATCAAGTCACCACAGATATACCCATATACATACGCAGACAATTGGTCATTTATGTCGACATCAGAGCGGGACACATTTCGCACTATGATTACTATCCTTAATCTTGTCCACGACCTACGTATGCGAATCGATTTGGATAAGTCATGGGGATGGGCGACGTCCAAACCACTCAGACAGTTCTGGCATGACGCATCCCAAATAATGCTACAGCCTAACTTCCGATTCAAAATTAAGAACCATGTACAAGACCTAGGCTGCATGATTGCTTATACAAACCAGGTAGTACTCGGCCCACTTCGTGATAAAATTGACAATGCAATGGCCAAATGCAATAGACTTCGAAAACTAAATTTGAGCTTAGAGGAACGGGCAGAAAAAATTCAAACAGCCATTTGGCCCGCGACATTTTATGGTGCCCTCGGTATGACCATTGGAGAAAAGCATTTCACCAACCTTAGAAGAGCCGCCACCAATGTACTCGTGGGTGACCATAAACAAGCCTCAAGCCACGTAGCACTTCATTTTCTATCACACAGGGTTCAAGACCCCATGCTATACGTCATTTCGGACATGTTCACTACATTGCGTAGGCTATTTGTGTACCACCCGTCACTTGCCAACAATTTCGTGCAATCCCTTCGTAGGTATAGTGGCCAAGTCCACGGTCCGGCAACGGCCCTGGCCGCATACATCCATCGTCTCGATTGGGAGGTCACACCCGGTGCAACGTTACTGGGACCCGGAGGATTACGCATTAATATCCAAACTGCTACAAGCAAAGCCATTAAAAAGGAGTTGAGAATTGCCTGGGATTGGCATTGTCATAATGAGATTTCGCACCGAAAAGGCGTCCCTCCTACGCCATTCGATTCTTGGACAGCTAATAAAATCTTAGAACACTTCACGGATAGACAACGTAGAATCTTAGCCATCACCATTACTGCCGGATGGCAGTCCAACGGGGTTATTGCCCAATGGAGTGCCACACAGTCACCAGAATGCCCATTTTGCAAACAGTTCGACACGCACAAACACTTCCTGCTTGAGTGCCCAGCCTTTCAACATATACGTAAACAACATCCAAAGGCTATACAACACTTGCAGATGCATACATACCTATGTTGGTTCCCGTTGCCCGTGCATTCGGCAGAGCTAGCCTTGATCCGACAGGCCATGCACCTCCGTTACCAAACCGTACATATTGATACACAAATTAATGTCCACAATGGTGATGTGTTCTATACGGACGGGTCATGCCAAAATCCCACGAGCCCCTACACCGCAAGAGCTGCTTGGGCGGTTGTACATCGCTCATGGTCATCATCTACGTTAGACAATAAATACCAAGTCCTAGCCACAGGACACTGCCCGGGAAAACAAACCATAAATCGTGCCGAGTTGTTTGCCCTAGTGATTAGTGCCGAACAAGCCAACCTATCTGACGACACCTCCCAGGTTTCTTTCTACACGGACTCACAATTCGTAGTAAATGTGATATCCCATATCGAAGAGGGCACCATTCTGGAATCCCCACACAAAAGAGATCACTGGGACCTAATTACACAACTGTGTAAAGTGTGGATATGCCACAGATTCCACGTTTTCAAGATTCGGTCCCACCAGAAACTTGAAGATGCACATTCCAGTGAGGAGGAATACCATATTCTAGGAAATATTTTTGCTGATGAGGCCGCAGTGCGAACATGCGCTGCTGACCTGCCCGAATTTCTACAACAGTGTGAACGTTTACGTGCACACTACCAGACACAAAGACAAAACATTTATGAAATCTATAAATATATTCTCGACTTGTCTTGCGAACGTATGAATACCTTAGATGAAATTGCCACTGAGAACAAAAAGACCATGAATGCTGCTGATCAGCAAACAGAAGCAGGCCAGCAATCTACAATTCTGACACCGTCATTTTCGTCAAAGCTGGCTGAACTTCGCGATTGGCCTTTAGCTACTAATTTGTTTACCTTGCCTGCAGAACCACACAGAGTTGTTTTCTGGTCCTGCCCTTGGGGCTGCAATCATGCGCGACTTGTCTGGACCTTTTGCACTTTGCTAAAGTGGCCTGCCGAAACGGCAGCACCGGTTCCTAAAGATCCGGGAATATCTTGGACGGAATTGGCAGTATCGTTCATGCTATGGGCAGGACGCTCGCTACCCATCAGAGTCGCTAATAAAGAGTCTCAAGAAATACTAGAATACGATGATCCAAAAACCAGCCTTCAGCCCGTGAAACTTAAATCGGTGCGAGTCCTAGCAGAGACCTTTCGCCTGATTATCAAACACCTACAGACATTTTCAAGATGCAAGATTGTACCAGCTTACAAACAACAGGGAACATCTAGCCTTACTAGACTGGGATTTTCCAGATATCATGAATCTGGAATTTCTAGACATCCTGAACTCCCCAACGCAGCAGAAACATACCAGTATTTGAAAGACCTGGTTCTAACAATTCCACATAACCCGCCATTTCATAATGAAATACTCCCACTTCCAATCGTTCCACGTGACGATCGACCACCGTGGCCAAATTGGCCAGAGGTTTCCATGAGCAAAAGGGAAAAGTTCACGCAACATATCAGGTACTACTTGTTCAGGAAGAAGAATTTCGACTTGGTTGTACATCCGGGCCCCAATTAGATAATTTACCTGCCAATTCACTTTGCAATCACAAAGATCTTCGAGACACCTACCGATCCAGACACATTGTTTGTTGCCGCTTCTCGCATGCATTCGTAGTGTATAGTCTCTTTTATCTCGACCTTTTCACGTGTCATCAGGTAGTATGTCTCACCCCTTACATCCACCTTCACCCGCTATACAATATAGCAAGGGGGAGCGTGGAGGCGCGCCAGACTCGACTGTCCGCAAGTCCGTTCATTCAATTGGGGTAAGGTTATTGTATACACTCTTGATCACTAATAAACCTTTCCATTTGAATTGAACATGCTCTTCAGGCTTGGGGGGTTTATGTTCCTCAAGAGTCTACATGGTCCTCAAGAGTCTACATTCACTGCCGAACCTGCGAACGGTTGCTCGGTGAGGCTCGTGGTCCCCATACACCGAAGATCAAAGTCCATAATCTCCTGACGCGGCGTCCGCGGTCGCGGATGGGTTGCCCACGGTCGTCCATGGCAGCCGCGCTGAGCAGCGGATAGGGAAGGAATTTCTTTGCCCGTTTTGGGGGGTCCTTAAGGGTTCTTTGAAATAAGGTATATCCGCCCTAGTCTGAACTATGGTCCTATGAACCGTCGAAGTCCTTAAGGGTTCTATATGGTTCAATCCGCTTTAGTCTGGAATTTTTAGGGGTCTGAACCCGGGTTCTCCCCTTTCAATCCGCCCTTCGTAGTCCCTCAAAACCTGCGGTTTTGCGAAGCAATCTCCTCGTCACTGATCTTCAGCGACAAAGGGGTGCCACGAAAGGATGCCTGAACCAGGGCGTGGAAAATCGCCCTATACCTGCCTAGATCTTCCAACTAGGCAAATGTTAGGCCGTTAGGCCTTTTCATCTCTAAAACCAGCCCCAAGGCATACTGTAGATTTTGCCTAGTTGGAAGATCTAGCCAGATACTCCTGGAGCTGAATCCGAGGGATCGGACCCAACGATCGACCCGAAGATCGGATCCGCGCGAAGGGGTCGAAGGGGGTCGGAAGGGGTCGAAGCAATCCGTTTTTAGACCTTCCAAGACCATCCAAAACCTATGGAAAAATGTAGGGTCTTGAAGAAAACTCTGTGTTTTTCCTTTTGTTTGTTATTTGTTTCTAATAGCGATGGCCTCCAACCTAATAACGATGGCCTCCAACCAGTCGGGTTGTGAACGGAGCGTCTGGGTGGCACCGCAAATTAAGATCGCATATTTAGTTTCAGATAGTTTCAGAGATGTTCAGAGCTAATTATTTTATTTTTCCTCAAACACAGAAACACCCGACCTCCAACAGATGTGATTTGGATTGACTCGGATTGCTGTTGCGATCCTCACCTTTCTTTGTAATACCCCGCTCTACAAAAATACCATAATATAGCATCTAAGATTCAGCAAGGATCTGCCAAAAAACAGCATGCGAGTAACCAGGATGACTCCGACTTTTGTTGGAGGAAAACACTCAGGTCTGAGCATGTCCCCCGCGGCACTGCAGCGTCCCAAAATGGCACGAAGATGCTGCACTTGGTTGATGGTTTGAGCATAGGACTATTTGGTGCTCTCCCGCTTCAACACTTTTTCTGGCCCGGTAAAAAGCAAGCTTTGGCCACAGAGCAGTTGCTGCTTCGATACCAAGCAACAAACTGCATTCCATCCAGTTGATGACTTGGGGTTGCTTCCCACATGCGTAAAACTCAAATGTTTTTTAAAGGAAAACATGTGTTCGCCCTTCTTTCCGCGTCCCCCAGTAGAAGGTCGAACCTGCACGCTGCACGCAAAAAGAAGACTGGTCTGATGAGTGCGTTCGCCCAGCCACCGCATGGCCGACATCCCAAACTCAAACACGTATATACTGCAGCCTCCTGTGTAGTCGTGTCAGAGACAGTTTAAAAATACTTCACTTCGAGTAATCCCCACCATGACATTTCAATCTGACAAATTTCTGGCATGTATTGAAACAATATTTCGGACTTTTTCTGGCATATCTTCTGACGTCAACAACCAGTTCCGGACGGCAGTGTTCCTCAGCCGCAAATCAGAAGACGTGCCAGATAGAGCGCCAGAAAGAATGCCAGAAACAATGTCAGAGAGTGTCAGCAGATATGTCAGAAAGAATGTCAGATAGAATGCCAGAATGAGTGTCAGTAGAGAGGCCACAAAAAAGTTAGAAGATATGCAGAAGATGTGCCAGAAAGAATGTCAGAAGATATGTCAGAAGATATGCCAGAAAGATTGTCAGAAGATATGCAGAAAATATACAGAAAGAATGCCAGAAAGAATGGCGCCAGAAAGAATGTCAGAAGATATGCCAGAAAGAATGCCAAAATGAATGTC